AGGGAGATTGGGGCCGGGCCTGCTGCTCCCTGGGCCTTGGGGTATCCATCTGTAAAATGGGCTTGAGCGGTGAAGTCCCTAAGGGGCTTCTAGCTCCCCAGATGTGGCTGGTTCCTTCTGCTCAGGACTGCTGGCAGGGCAGCTGTGGTGTTCTTATTTTATCTGGGTAGGTCAAGTGACAGGAGCACTAGCCCCTGTGACAGTCAGATCCAATAGTAACTTTAACAACAGCAACTTCTAAGCACTTTCCATGTTTTAATACGTTCAATTTTTATAGCAATCCTATGAGGTGAGGCTTAATTGTCATTACCCTAATTTTAGCCATGGAAGTACAGAGAGGGCATGTAACTTGCCCACGGTCACACAGCTAGTAGGTGAAGGAAACTGAGATGGCGCTCTAGCTCTGACCTCTCAGATACTAGACTATTATTCCAATGAATTTTTGACCCTAATATATTATTACACTTCTCTGCTGGTATAGGAATTTCCTTGTGGCCAGGTAGGAGTTCAAAGATTCCTCCTGACTTATGGACAGAACCTCCGCTTATCTTTCTACGCCACCTCTTCCTCAAACATTTCAAACGTTCTGGCTCTGTGTTAGACTCTTAATGGCTGAGATGAATGGTCGGTAGCTCTCGCCAAGCTTCTCTTCCAAATCCATCATCTGCTAGCCTCCATGTCTCAATCTGTGTGAACTCCAATTTTCAGACGTGTGAATGGTTATGGTGAGTCCTGCCCAACCAACAGGGCTGTTTAGAAAGGTCAGGTGGGCTAATGTGTGTGACAGCATCCACCACACTGACTTGGCACATAGTAGGGACGCTACAAAAGTTCACTGATGCAGTCAGTGCATATTTGGGAAGCAGGTGCTCACTGTAAGTGACATTTTTGAAGCTCCACAATCCATTTATTCAGTAATGATTTAGTGAGCTGGCAGACAGCCTTTCTGCCCTCAAAGAGCCCATAGTCTAATGAGAAAGGCAATAAACAAGTAAGCAGACAAATTAAAAACAAACACATACATTAAGACATTTCAGAGGACTGGACTGCGAGTAGCAAGAGTATTAAGTGAACAAAAGAGAGATCATGATGGAAAGTTAGGAGGGGTGGGCGGGGAGGCAGGTTCCCTAGCTCCCTTGGTAAGGGAGATGACTCTTGAGGCCACATGGATGATGACAAGCCAAGCACGTGAAGCTCAGGGGGTGAGAAAGCCCCTAGGGAGAGGAACCGGCAAGGACAAAGGGCCTGAGGCAGGAAGAAGGCTGGTGTGCGGCCGGAGCAGAGGGAAAGGACAGGAGTGGTCAGTTATGCACCTGGGAAGGAGTGGGATCAGTTCATCTCTGGTGCTGTTGGCACAGGGTAGCTGCGCTTTCAGAAGCCCCACTTCCAGGACAACTTCCCATGCCTGAGCTCCAGGATGGAAAGCGTGGGGCACTTAGTCCACTGGCTGGCCATGGCCCTCAATATGTGGAAGCTCTTATTATTATAGCTGGAGTGAGATGTCTGGGGTGAGATCGCTTTCAAGGTAGGCTCCAGTTGAGTGGGCCATCTTTGTGTAAAGGAAGGACTACTGTGTCATCAGGGTTACAATCGGAGCCTATTTGGGGTTATCTTGATATTGGGAAATGGCCCCACCCTCGGGCCAGGTATCCATGAAAAACACTGATGCCTGTCTTTCTCTTGTACCGTCCCGGTGTCTCCCCTTAGCTCCACCCCATCCGTCAGTCCATCAGTCCGTACAATTTGGTCAGCTCCATCTGCAGCCACCGCACCACTGCCACAGAGGCTAGGCCACCACCACCTCTTGCCTGCCCACTCTCCCTGCTCCTGCCCTGGCATCCTATAGTCCTCTCCCGTGGGGCTCGAGAGATGAAATCCTGTCAGTATCATGCTTATGCCCTTCAGATGCTTCAGATGCACCTGAGAACATTCTAGCCCTGAGTCATCTCTTGTCCCCAGACTGTCCTCCTTCACAAGCTCTGGTTTGCATCACTTCCTATGGATCTGCCTGTTTCTTGGCAGCCCCAAGCTTGTTCCCTTCCTAGGACTTGAGTTTTCTGTTCCCTCTGCCCATAATACTTTCTCCAGACCTTTCCACTGCTGGCCAGTCAGGTCTCTGCTTCACTGTCCCTTCCCTTCCTCAGAGAGGCCCTCCTTGACCACCCCAGCTAAAGTGGCCCCGCCCCTTCCCTCCCAAGCCCACCCCTACTTGCCATCACAGCATCGTTAGGTAGTTATCACAGTGTGCATTGCGTCTGAAAGGGCCTCTGTAGCTCCTCGGGGCAGCGCCTTTGCCTGTCTCCCAGCATAGTGCCTGGCGCCTGATAGATGTCCGATATGGATCTCTTCATGAATGACTCTCACCAGAACAGGCATAAGCTTCCTCTAGGCCAGGCATGTCCAGAGGGGGATACATGTACTCCATTGGCACGCAGGGAACAAATACTTAGAACTTCTATTCACAATTTCTCGTTAAGTATTTTTTGGTAATAAAATATACACATACAGACTAGAGAGTATATAACATGTACAAACAGTTGTTTTTTAAATCAATATCTGGGTACCCACCACCCTTTCAGGGGCAACAGCTGCATGAAAGTGTGGTTTTCCCACATAGAGATGATTTCTAAACAATACTGGGATTCATTTGCATGATTTAAAATCTCATCTCAATTGAATCCTACCCTAACTACAAAGGCAGCTTGCTTAGTTCACTCAACATTTACATCTACCATACATCGTCTTATTTTTTGCTATCGGAAAAGGAGATCAAGCCTCACTAATACTGTATACACACACTGCACAGATACCGATGTGAGATCACAGATGAATAAACCTGGGCTGGGGGTGCAGTACCAAGAAAGGTGGGAGACTCCTGCTGGGAGCTGTAGGGGGAGATGGCCAGGGCTGGATACCAGGGAGGACCTGTAGGCCATGCCCCCCCCGCCCGCCTAATGCTCCCTCTCTCTGTGTCCCCTGCTCCAGTGGCTTCTCCTCGGTGGTAGCTCTGGGCGCGAGCATCATCTGTAACAAGATCCCAGGCCTGGCCCCCAGACAGCGGGCGATCTGCCAGAGCCGGCCCGACGCCATCATCGTCATAGGAGAAGGCTCGCAAATGGGCCTGGACGAGTGTCAGTTTCAGTTCCGCAATGGCCGCTGGAACTGCTCGGCGCTGGGCGAGCGCACCGTCTTCGGGAAGGAGCTCAAAGTGGGTACGTGCTCACCCGGACTCGGCAAACAGGGTCTTACAGGCCGTGGGGAGACCAGAGTACTCCTGGGAGCCCTTTGGGACCTGCTCCCCTGCCGAATGCTGGGATGACCCCAGCATAGGATCCTCCAGGGGCCAGGACTTGAATTCAGGTCTCCTGATGAGCCTCGGCTCTCTGGTTTGAATCTAGACCACCGCAGCCGCGTGTGGCAGAGTTGAAAACCAGTGGCTTGCATGCTAGCTGGCTGATACAGCGCTTATGTTGTTTTTTAAATTGAAGCCCAAATTTTAAAATTAGCTATTTTACCTAAAAATACAAATTTCTGACTTCTTTTGAAAAATAAGCTTACACACATATTCACATAGTCATTATGGGCGAGAGCTGAGAACACAGCTTCCTTTAGGTGGAGCCTGGGCAGCCCCTTCACTACCACAGTCCCCACCACTCCCTATTATCCGCCTTATATCCACCCTTATATGACTTGCCTGGCCACTGTGGGCATTTCCGTTTGTAAGCCCTGTGTGTTGCTTGGACGTAAGAGCACAGATGCATACACACAGGCAGGCACAGAGTGTCAGGCCATGCACTTGGTTTTCAAACCAGTATGAGAAAAGCCTGGTGGAAAGGAGTTGGTCACTGGGAGGCCCTGATTAGTGAGGGAAAAGTGTGTTGTGTGTCTTGCTTGTGTGCATCTGGACTGGGGAGCAGGAATACTGTGGGCTTGCTTGAGCTGTGGACCTCCCTGAAGGTCAGGTCAGCCTTGGGGCGCTTTGGTCGGGAGTGGTTCCCCTGGCCTGGCTCAGAGGGTACCCTGAGTTCTCTTCCTCCCTCAGCCCAACGTCAGCAAACCCAATGCTCATTACGAAAACTCACCTGAACCCAGCCACTGCCCTAAGTCCTCACTTCCTTCCTCTTGGCTCACAGAGCTGGCGTATCTGGGCTCCCAGGTCCCCCCATCCCATTCGCATCAACCCGCTGCCCCCTGACCCTCCTGCAGACCATCCTGCGGGCAAGGTCATCCTTTGTAAATGGAAATCAGATCCTGTCATTTCCCTGTTTAAAACCCTGGGATCAGAATGAAATCCCAACTGCTGACCTCTGCCCCCGTCTGCCCCCATTTCCCCCTCCCCCTTGCCTACCCAACCTCACCCTCTTTCCCAAACATATCACACTGGGTCCTGCTTTGGGAACGCAGCCCCAGGAGCTCCTTCTGCCTCAGATCCTTTCCCATAGCCCATGCTCCTGAGCCCCATCCTCTGTGTGCATGGCCCCCGCTCAGCTTCCAGGCCTCACAGAGCCTCCTCTGTCTCCTGTCTAAAGCCCCTTAAACCGCGAAGCCCCATCCCATCAGCCAAGCACTTGGCACTGCGTGCATCTCCTCCTCACCCTTTGGGAATGCTGGCTCTTGGGGGTCGGGACCCCTGCCACACGCACCACTGAATGTTTTCTTTCCCTTCCTTCTTGAGAGGAGGAGCGGCAGCAGCTCGGTCCTGCAGAAGGTCTCATCCTGTCACCACATTCTGTAGCGTCCTTCTTGCTCGCGCCTGCGGGGACTGCAGAACAGGATCCCAGGTCCAGGGTGAGGCTGGTGGGGGCGGCCTCCTGCGGGCCTCTCTGCATGCGTTCCCTTTCCACGTCTTTGTGGGGTAGGATCCTGCCCTTGTTCCCCCTCTTGGCTGGACAATCCAGTGCCAGGGCTCACTTTTCAGATGGACAGCCAAGGCCCAGAGAAAGGAGGGCACTGCCTCAGCTCATGCCCAGAAATGGCATCAGCACTGAGACTCCAGTTTAGGTCACTGAAATCACCATTTTGTGAACCTCCCCTTGTCATTACCTGTGGTTTTCCTGCCTTCTCTTGCTCTCATCCCTGGCATAATGTCAGGTCTGGGCTCTGACATTATTTCAGTTATGAAGAAACTAAGGGGATCTGCCCAAGGGCAGCAGAAGTGAGTGTCAGGGTCTCCCGGGACTGGGTTAGTCCCAGCGCAGCTTGCAGTCTTGGAACAGCCGGCCCATTGCTGGCTGAGTAATAGTGCCTGCTCGGGTGCAGCAGCAGGTATGACGCTGGGAGGAGTGCCAGCCAAGGGCACACCTCACCCCCAGTGCGCCAGAGCTGTAGAATTGAGGTATCCTTTGCGGGCGGAGGCGGGGGGCTGCTGCCAGTACACCTGCCAGCATACGCTGGGCAGGAGCAGAGGCCTGAGGCCAGGAGCTTTCTTCAGGTGGGGGTGTGGGTAGGCAGAGGTGGTCTTAGAGAATTCAGGCAAGCAGAAGAGTCCAAGGAAACCCATGGGCTAGCCCCACCTGGGCCTGAAGGAGAATGGAGCCAGAGCCAGGAGGCATGTGGTCAGTCTGAGCAGTTTGAATTTCTAAGTGGTAGGAGAAGCTGGAGAATTTTGACCATGGGCGTGACTGCCAAAGTAAGTCACATTGTATAAAATAGCCACTATTCAATGGTTTTTGGCCCACAAAACGACAACATTGTGTGATTCAATCTAGTAGGAATTCTGGAATTAAAGGGTGGGTCCAGAATTCATGTGTTCATTGTCCTTCATTGATTCACTCATGCCTTCACCCGCCATGGCTGGGCGCTGCTGTTCCAACCTGCGTGGTCCGGGAAGGCCTCTGGATCCATGAGGGAGGTGAGCCTCAGGCATGTTGGGAGAAGAGCATGCCAGGCAAAGGGAATGGCACGTGCAAAGGCCCTGACGCAGGAGTGTGTTCGAGGAACAGCGAGGAGGCTTAGCTGGAGAATAGCAAAAGAGGGGAAAGAGGAAGGCTCAGAGGTCAGAGAAGGAGCCAGGAGCTGGACAGTGCAATGTCTGTCAGGCCAAGTCAGGGTTCTGGACTTACCTCCAGTGAATGGAGAGCAAGGGAGTGGCAGGATCCGACTTCAGATTTAGCAGGATTGCTCTGGCTGCTCAGAGCAGAAAGACTGTGGAGGGGTGAGGAGTCAGGAGTCCGGTACAGTTTTCTAGTCAGGAGGTGACCGGTGGCTGTGGACTGAGTGATAGCAGTGGAGGTCTGCTTCAGGGGCAAGCTGCCAGGGCGGAGGGAGACTGACAACCCAACAGCCACTGAGGAAGGAGTTCCCCTTCTAAGGTGGTAGTGGGAGCAGAGGAGATGAGATCAGGATTGGATCCCACTCCTGCAAGTCTGAGAAGTCACTTCTCTTCTGAGCCTTGGTTTTCTCGTGTGTGAACAGGTATCCTGCTTGAGGACAGCAAGAGGCAAGCCTCCAATTTAGGCTTTCTGGGCTCTTCATCGGTGTTCTTGCCCCCATGGGGTTGCCTCTTTCTGGGAGTGACCAGTCAACAAGGGCTGCCTGGCTGAGGTGAGAGATCAGGAGTCTGGTGTTAGATTGGGAGCTCTGGCCTTCAAATTCACACTGCTGACAGCTGGACACATCTCCCACCTTGGAAGAGGCTTCCTAGAAGCTCCAACCCTTGTTTCTACTTACATCTTATTGACTAGAACTTAGTCAGATGACCATACCTCACTGCAAGGGAAGCTGGGACATATAGTCTTTTATTCAGAACAGCTATGAGACCAGCTAAGGATCTGTGACTGAGGAGGAAGGGGAACATTGACATTGGAGTGGGCAGCTAGCCCCGGTGTAGGTTTCCCATCCCGTGCTGAGACCTAAAGACTCCCCTTCCACCATCTCCTCAGCCTCCTCTCCAGCCCCCGGCTCTGCCGGTGTTTCTTGGCTCTGTCTTGCCTTCTGAGTGTTCCAGATTTTGCTGCATAGATCTGAGGACAGCCATGGGCAAGGTCCTCTTGGATGCTAAGCTGAAACCCAATTCAGGCCACCTCAGAAGAGGAGAGGGATTCACGTTGCCTAAGTAACTGGAAAGTCAGGGGTGGTGCTGACTTTCAGAATGGCTTGGACCAAAGGTGATGTTGGCTTCTACCAACCCAGAACCACCCCTTGGGGCAGCAAGATGGCCTTTGCATCATCAGCACCACAACTTCCAAGTTCAAGTCCTACAGAAAGGCCTTAACCTTTCTCTGGCAGCACCTGCACAGTCCTATGGTTCACTCTGATTGGATCAGCTAACAGGGCTTAACTTCTGGTTGTGTGTCCATCCACACCAATCACAGTGGCCAAGGGCACAGTGCTTTTGTTGGCCAGGCCTGGGAGCCCCACCCGGACCATTTCTCATGGGAGCGGGATGGCTCCTGAGTCTCTTAGTCAGCTTGGGCTGCTGTAACAGTACTACAGGCTGGGCAGCTTGAACAGACATTTATTTCCTCCCTGTTCTGGAGACTAGAAGTCCACGGTCAAGGTGCTGGCAGGTTGGTTTCTTCTGAGGCCTCTCTCCTTGGCTTGCAAATGGCTCTCCCCGCACTGTGCCCTCGCACAGCCTTTTCCCTGTGCCTGCCCTCGATGTCTCCGTGTCCTAATCTCCTCGTCTTGTAAGGGTACCAGTCAATCTGGATTAGGGTCACCCTAATGGTCTCATTTTAACTTAATCACCCTTTTAAAGGTCAGACCTCCAGACACAGTCACATTCTAAAGTACTGGGAGGTATAAATTTGGGAAGGGACACAATTTGATCCGTAACAATGAGCAGCCAGAGTGCAGCATGGTCAGTGCACTAGGGGAAGGCATGTGGGGTGTGGTGGTGCTCAGAGGTGAGGCTCCGAGGGGGGAGTGGGCTGGACGGTGGGTATGGGCCTTGACTTGGGTCTCGAAGGGTAGGGAGAATTTCACTAGTCAGTGAATGGGAGCCCAGGTGGAGGAACAGCGGTATAAACATACGCACATTTGATTGAGCGGATGGCGAGCGGGGGTCTGCAGCCTCGGGAGGCAGGGTGTCCTTAGCCTCAGGTTACTTGACAGGCTTCCTATTCAGGGGTCTTAAAATGCCAGGGATTATTTGGGCCTGGTGTGTGGCCCACAGCAACTTTATCAGCTGCTACCCAGTGTGGCCCTTGGGGGCTTAAGAAGATATTCACTAATGTCCAGGCTTTTTCTTCTCTTAAATAATCCAACGATA